CTCACTGTCGCCGAAAAGCATTCTGTCCAAAACTCCCGTAATAGAATATTACATAATCTAAGCATACTAAGTTCACATGAATGGCGACCCAAAATTACAGACAAAATTAAATGTAACGCCAAACTGATAGACGTACCCATAGGCACAAGGCGTGCGGATAATTATCAACTAACTTTGACCCATAACAATACTAAAAACTAAATACTAAATGCTAAATAAAATAGTACTATATAATAATTTCCATTTTTTTTTTTTTACTTTATCCACATTATTAATAATAATAATATAATAATAATAATAATAATGACTCTATTTATATATATGTGTACTACTTGACCGCCTCATCTCAAGCGTGATGGCACGGAAAAACTTGGTTTTGTTATTATTATTGGGGTTGGCCGTGGCTTCCACCGCCGAGTACCGCCGCCCACCGCGGCGGAGGGAGCTTTCGCAGCCGCTGAGGAGAGAACTCGATGACGTTGAATCAACTTCTCCCCAGCAGGTGTAATGAATTACTGTTTATAGTTGATTATAATTCTCTTGTTCTGCCATTTTGTTTTTTCTTTTTAATGGTGTCATAAAGTGAGTGGATGTTTAGCACTGTACCCCGCCATCTTAAGTAATATATATGCTGCCTGTATGTGTTTTTGGGGTTTAGAATTTTGATTTGGAAAATTCATATATAATTTATATATGCGTATTAGAATATTCACTTGTGAGTTGTCTTGTATCGTATTAAAACATTTACTTTGGCTTCATGTGGGTTTTCTCCCGTTTGTTCCATAGTATCAGAGTTGAATCTATGAGAGACCGTGCAATGACATACTTGTTTTCCCTATGTACCCGTGTTTCATCTGCGTGGAACTACTCTCTTTCTTACAAAAGGGAAAACATATATATGACCTTTGAAATATTGAATTTAGTAGAATCATAAACTTAAATTTTTGAAAGTTTAAATCATTAAAAAGTACTGAAAAACAAGTCGTACTTTTTTTTTATTTACTAATTTATTTATTTATTTATTTTTATTATAATTATATCTGAATCAAGCAGGTGCACATATCTTTGAGTGGTGCGAACCACATGAGAGTCTCATGGATCACTTCAGATCCAACTCCATCAGTTGTGTACTATGGCCCAGGCCCAATTCTAGGCCCAGGATCGAACTCCCTCTCATCCACCGGAAGTTCCAACCAATACAAGTACATGCTGTATCAATCCGGACACATACACGACGTCGTCGTCGGCCCATTGGACCCAAATACAGTGTATCACTACCGCTGTGGCTCACCTTCCTCCGATGAGCTCACCTTCAAAACTCCCCCATCACAATTTCCCATCAAATTTGCTGTCTTAGGTAGTTATTAAAGAAAAAAAACTCGACCAATCCCACTATATATATATATCAACTGACGACTAATTATTTCTACGTCCATTTTAAATAAATACAGGCGACCCGGGTCAAACCGAGCACACGAACTCAACCCTAGACCACGTATCGAAATCAAACTACGACGTGTTGTTATTACCGGGCGACCTCTCGTACGCGGACTTCTACCAACCTCGGTGGGACACGTTCGGGCATCTCGTGCAGCCGCTCGCCAGCACCCGGCCGTGGATGGTCACTCAAGGTAACCACGAAATCGAGTCAATCCCTCTACTGCACAAGGAGAAGTTCACCTCGTACAACGCGAGGTGGGCCATGCCACATGGCGAGAGCGGGTCCCCCTCCAACTTGTTCTACTCTTTCGAGGCAGCCGAGGCCCACGTGCTCATGCTCGGGTCGTACGCGGATTTCGAGCCGGGGTCGGAACAGTACAGATGGCTCGAGTCGGACCTGAGGAAAGTGGATCGAGGCAGAACCCCGTGGCTTGTGGCCGTGGTGCACGCGCCATGGTACAACACGAACGAGGCCCATCAAGGAGAGTACGAGTCGAGCGGCATGAGGAAGTCCATGGAGGATTTGCTCTACCGGGCTCGTGTGGACGTGGTTTTCGCGGGCCACGTTCATGCGTACGAGCGCTTTGTGAGGGTGTACAACAATAAAGCCGATGATTGTGGGCCGGTCTATATAACGATTGGAGATGGGGGGAATCGCGAGGGTCTTGCTAACCGGTAGGACAAAAATATGATATTTTATAGTATAAGTATTATTTTAAATGAAAAAACAAAATATGATCCTATTCTTTTTTTTTCCAAAACGATAGATAAATATATTATCCTATTCACATGACAGTTTTTACTAATACAAGAATTTGTTATTGAAATTTGTTTTATATTTTTAACAAATTGGGCTGAAATTGTGATATTTGGACAGGTACATGGATCCACAGCCCGATATATCTGCGTTTAGAGAGCCAAGTTTTGGGCATGGGCAACTCTTGATACAAAATGGGACCCACGCCTTGTGGACGTGGCATAGAAATGACGATGATGTGGAATTTGCATCTGACCACATTTGGTTGACAACTCTTACATCAGTTTCCAAGTGTTCCTAGTTTTGATCCAAGTATTTTTCTTCCACAAACATAAATTATTGCATTATCTTACTGGGTTGTGTATAGAGAAGCCCAAATAAAATTTGTGCTTAGATACTCTTTTAATGAACAATTTGGGCCTCAACTGAATATGGGATGCAACTGGCTAGGCCCATTAATCTTGGAATTGTTAAAAGTTGTGAATGACTATAAATATTGAAATTTAGAAAAATTACACTGTTGATCTATAAATTTTATTTTTGTTTCGTTTATTAAATAATTGTTTTTAATTGAAATTGGGCTAAAATTGAAGCTTTACGAATAGTGGTTTCGTTGTTTATTTTTTTTTCATTTGTTTACAAGATTGCATTGTTTTTTGGATTAGTTGTTTAAAAATAATTAATTAGTTTTTGTGTGACCACTAATTTTGAATGTTCTAATCATGTAATTATTTAAATATTGTAAACATGTAAATATTTAAACAAGAATTAATAAGGAGAATAAAATTATTTAAATAATAAATAAACAAATAAGGAAAATAGATTATTAAAACAACCATTAATAAATAAATAAATTAATTAATATTTCAATCAATCCGACCCCTGTCTTGACCATCATCAGACTAAAAAGTCTCACCACCAAAAGTCAGATTTCATAAGATCAAAATAGAAAAAAATAACATTATTTGCTGCAAATTTTACTCAATTTTTTTTTTTTTATTTTTTTGTGTGTGTGGTCCCCACAATAATCAGTAAAGCCAACGCCCATCTCACCATATTAACTACTACTATATACTAATTGTAAGGGCATCTCCAATGGTAATAGCTATTACTAGCTATATAGTCAGCTGACATGGATGTGAGAGATAAGAAAAATAACTATTTTACACTATTGGACCCACATACTCCTCTCACATAATATTGGGCTACGTGAAATAGATAAGCTATTTGTTAGTAGCTAGTGACTACTCTCTCTCTTACTTTTCCCCTGTCCACGTCATAATAGCTAGCAAAATAGCTAACCATTGGAGACACCCTAAGCTCACGTGTAGGGTTCAATGCACCATCATTTTTAAAATTCCATCATTAGCCCTGCAGGGCATGGTTATTATATGAAATCATTAGAATTCTACCTCACAAGAAAAAATGTAGAGAGAGAAAGAGATTGATTGTTGGTTGATGAAGTCATTGGATCGTAGACATGCCCGATACCCGAACCGGCCCTAAATAGGTCTCCTAAGGGTCGATTTGTTGAATCGAATTGTGGGAGCGATTCAGTCCCGGTTCGTAATTTAATTTTTTATCCCACCGGCCAGGCCGGGTCACGGGTTGGAAGACGAGCCGCAATGTTTTTTATAGACCGTACTGGCACGAAACTGCCCGAAACTCATAGGGTCAGTGAACTGGCGGTTTAGGGCCGGTTCATATAAATGGGCGGACCGGTCACGGGCCATGAAATTGAGGCCCGCCGATCCACGACCCGGCCCGCAATTGGCCACATATATTGGATCGGATGGGCTAATCCTTCTAACCTCTCCACGTTCAAATTATTTTACGTTAGTTCCTTTTTGTACCCTCTTTTAAACTCCTCACATGTAACAATAATGGCCAATCAGATTTGATTATAAGTTAATTGCAATCATGCGTGTTTACCGCGTAAATATGGAAGACAAACGGATGGTGTTGAGCTGGATAAATAAATTGTAGTTAGCCATAAGTTTGGTGATTTATATGAATTAAAGTTAATTTTGATGGGTTTAATTTGATGAAATTTTTTTGTGATTTATATGTATATAGAAATATGTTTGTGTGGTTTTTTTTTATTTAATTTTTTTAAAATAAACTTTAGATGAGAATCAATAATTATCATACAAATATTTGTGATTTATAAAGTAAATTAATTATTTTTCACGTGATATTGTAGTAAATTAATTATTTTCATGTGATAATATTGTAGTAAATAAAAAAGTAGATTATGATGAGCACTCAATTGGGATGAATAAATGTTGGGTGGCTATGACCATGCAAAATCTTTTGATAACTGGCCTACATTTATGAAGTCAAAGAATTAAAAGAAAAATAAAAAAAATTGAATATATTATATATTAAAACGAAAAACAGCCCCAAACATATCTATGAACCTTAAATGGTTTGCCCAAATAAGAAAATGAAAATGCAAATGAATTTAAGGAGGCTTGAAGAATTTAGAGGGCATGTAATGATTAGAAGCTTTGGCCATAATTTGGATTTTCAGACCCGAATTTATTGCGTAAGGTTCTCATTAACTTACCCACAATGATAATTTTTCATGTGGGAAGGGTACAATTTAGTCTCTTGCTCAAATTTAGTTGGTATCAATACTAATGTAGAAGGTCGTATCCCCCACTTCGGAGACGATATTGATCGAGTCGTCGTGGAGGGAGACGATGGAGATATATTGATCGAGTCGTCGTGGAGGGGGACGATGGAGATACAAGTAAAAAATTTCCTAGACGATGTACCAACATACCAAACAAATAATGTTGTGTACAAAGATGTATTTATTAATGTATAAATTACATTTTGTTTTTATTTCAACTAGTAGATATCCTGTGCACATGCACAGGTGTTGTGCACATATGTACATAAAATATTAGTAAGTAATATTTGATAATTTAATATTAAAATTCTAGATAATGAACATATTACATTTACAAAAATTTGATCATTAGGAAAAATAAACTAACAATTTTATTATTATGAATAATTGTTTATTATCTTTAGATAATAACATTTTGATTATTATTATTATTATTAAAAAAATAATTGTCTATAAGCTTCTAAAGTTGTTTGACTATGCTATTAAAACTATTTACTAATTATTTTTAAAGAAATTTTTTCATGAGGTACAACAGAAAAAGATAATATTGATGTTAATATAAATAACTTGAAACAATTATTTATAATAATGTAATTTATATTTATTGTGAATTATTATTAGTTGGTATTAGCAATAACTATTATATAATATAAAAGAAACATACATGATTACGCTCATTAAGATGTATTAATGTGAGAAGTAAAAAATATTAATGACAAATTTTGTAACCGAAAATGGTGGGAAAATTTTAGAGGTTTTATTAAATGCTACATGCCAGCAATTATATATATATAGATACATTCGTTTCACGTTCATCCAATCATCCAAATTTAAATATTTACCTTAATAAAATTATCACGTGCATCGCATGGGTACTGCAATAGTATCTTAAATAATGAAGAAAAGACGTGTGAATTTGGAAATATGCATAATCTGATTTCTTTATTCCCATAGTTGAAATCATGCAAAAATTTCTTTTTGTTTTGTAATCTTACCCAAACACATGATAATCTGAAAAATTCAAAATCTTCTGTCAAACAACTCTATTGTTTATCATAAATTAATATTATTAAATGTGGGATATTGAACCAAAAACAACAAATAAAACAAAGACTGAAATATTTTTTTGTCATAATTTTCATCTTTGTACTAAAAATCGGACCGCCTCCAATTACATAAATTGGCTGAAAAATTGGTCAGGCGGCTAGACGACGCTTAGGCGGATTCGCACCCAGGTGGGCCTAGACGGACCTAGGCAGGCTATAAGAATGAATTTACATTTACTTTTGCATTTATATGATACAATATCGCGTTTAGATCATATCTCGACATGTATTCATCTTTTAAATCCATGACTGCCGAAACAGTATACAAGATTTACAATGAAGCCAATGTATAGGGATTTTTATCGGGGGACATCTTGATGATGGATAGCTGCTAAAATAATAAGAGAAGACATGGAGAAAGAGTTTTTCTTTTCTGTTCCCTTTCATTGCCGTAGAATGAGTTTGGAGAATACATATATAGATTACAAGAGATAATGATAATATCAAACCAAATATTTAGATACTAAAGATAACTATAGAAAATATATAGATACTAAAGATAACTACAGAAAATATCTTCCCTAAATTATCCGTTACACCCCCCCTCAAGTTGGAGCATGCAGATCTCGAATGCCCAACTTGCTGAGAAAATTCGTGAACTCTTGTCCACCCAAGGCCTTAGTAAAAATATCTGCCAACTGGGTTGTGGTAGAAACATAATGAGGAGCAATTAAACCCTTCAGCAGCACATCACGAACAAAATGACAATCAATTTCAATGTGCTTAGTACGCTCATGAAACACTGGATTAGAGGCAATATGCAAGGCTGCCTTGCTGTCACAATAGAGAGAAACTGGAGACAAAAGATCAACACCAAAACATCCCAAAAGGGATTTCAACCATAGCAGCTCACAAGTGGTAGAGGCCATAGAGCGATATTCTGCTTCTGCGGAAGAGCGGGAAACGGTAGACTGCTTCTTAGTCTTCCAGGAGATAGGCGATGAACCGAGTTGAATGATCCAACCCGTGAGAGAACGACGTGTAAGAGGACAACCTGCCCAATCAGAGTCACACCAAGCAGTAAAACGTAAATTAGAATCAGCGCTAAAGAAAATGCCTTGACCAGGACTTCTTTTCAAATAGCGCACAACCCGAAGAGCAGCATCCCAGTGAGCCTGGAGAGGATTATGCATAAACTGAGACAAAACATGGACAGAATAAGACAAGTCGGGTCGGGTGACAGCAAGATAGATAAGTCTTCCAACCAAACGTCTCTATTTATGTGGATCGGGGAATGGAGGACCAGTGACAAGCGGAAGCTGATGATTCTGTTCAAGGGGAAATGAGGTCGGCTTAGCCCCGAGAAAGCCAACCTCTGACAATATGTCAAGAGCATACTTCCTTTGGCACAAGAAAATGCCAGAGGAATTGCGAGCTACTTCCAAACCCAAAAAGTATTTCAAAAGCCCAAGATCCTTCATATGAAAGCAACGACTTAAATAAGCCTTAAAGGAAGAAACAGCACCACTGTTATTGCCGGAGATGATCAAATCATCGACGTACACGAGAACGTGCAGCTGAACACCATCTCGACACAAGGTAAAAAGTGAATAGTCG